GGGGTCTAGGCGCACGGGCTTCAGTAACTGTGGCTCATGGGCTCTAGAGCGCAGGCTCAGCAGTTGTGGCGCACGGGCTTAGTTGCTCTGTAGCATGCTAAAAATAGCTCTCACAGGCTTCCCTGGTGGCGCAGTGGTTGGGAGTCTGCCTGCCGATGCAGGGGACAGGGGTTCGTGCCCCGGTCCGGGAAGATCCCACATGCCGTGGAGCGGCTGGGCCCGTGAGCCATGGCCGCTGAGCCTGCGCGTCCGGAGCCTGTGCTCCGCAACGGGAGAGGCCACAACAGTGAGAGGCCCGCGTACTGCAAAAAATATATATAAATAAATAAATAAATAAATAAATAAATAAAAATAGCTGTCACATCTTGCCTTAATTTGTGTTTACACTGTATTATTTTCATATTTTTTAAAAAAGGCCTAAATTGCAAAGGTAGAGAAACTAATCTCATGTTTTTAGTTTTGTTAGAGAAAGCTACTTGATTTGTTGTCTTTAAATAACAAGAGTTCACTTTTATAAATAGGTTTTGAGATGTAGTAAAATAGCTGGTGTGAAGGTAGCAGAAATTACAGAGCTAATACAGAAAGCTTTGGAGAACGACCAGAAAGTTAGGTAAGTTTGATTTTTTTAGAACTGAATGGTCTTGTTATAGATTTTTCTGTAGAGGGTTTTTCTTGCACAAGCATAACTATACAGTTTTTACACTCAGTCTTTCCTTATCTCTTCATCTCAGTTGAATATACTAAATGGTTTTTGCAAGTTGATTGAACTATTTATTGTATTCCAGTTTACACATAATCTGTATTAAAAAGCCACATAATATTTTTCGTTTAAAAAGTTAACATTTTCTTAGGAAAAAAAGAATCCAGTAGCTCATGTTAACAGAAAGAATACAAACTGGGGTTGATTCCCATCTCTTCTTACTGTGTGACATTAAGCAACAGCTGTATCTCAGCACTTCAGTGTCTTCTGTAATATGGAAGGTTAATGCCTACCTGGTGGGGCTGGTGTGAGGATTGGAGAATAATATGCTTTAAGTACATAACATGCTTGACACATGGTTTAATTAATGGTTAATTATAGTAACTTTTTATTATCTCACTTGATAGCAAAATAAATTGGTGGGGTTAAGTTAGTCAAATAGTTTCTCATCCAATATTTCTCATGTATCAAAAGGATAAAATAGTTAACTTTTTTTTCCCTTCCTGTCTTCTCTCCCATCTCTCATTCCCCCTTCCTTCCCAACTCCCCAAAAAAACCCACACAGGAAAGAAGGTGGAAAGTTTGGCTTTGCAGAATCTATAGCAAATCAAAGGATCACAGCATTTAGAATGGAAAAGGCCCCTATTGATACCTCCGATGTAGAGGAGAAAGCAGAAGAAATCATCTCTGAAGCTGAACCTCCTTCAGAAGTGTATCTTTCCTGGGTGTTTTTGGTAAAAACAAGAAGATTCATAACACTTAGGGCATTATTAGGGCTCTGTGAAGCGTGTGCATATGGAAATTTGTTTTCTGAAACACTGTACTTTGTTAGAAAAAAACATTTAAGATATGAGACAAGATAGTGATGAGTCATATTAAATTGATGGTGTAACATCTACCTTCTCTTCAGCTGTCCTACCAAAACCAGAAAATTCTCTTATTTTAAGAACCAATTTACAGCATTTCATTTTCCTTTGGAAAATTCTTCCCTTATCTCACTGGCATGGTCAGACACTATACATTATACACATTGTTCTTATTTTTTTTAATAAATTTATTTACTTATGTATTTATTTTTGGCTGCATTGGGTCTTCGTTGCTGCAGGTGGGCTTTCTCTAGTTGTGGCGAGCAGGGGCTACTCTCCGTTGTGGTGCTCGGGCTTCTCATTGCAGTGGCTTCTCTTGATGCGGAGCACGGGGTCTAGGCGCACGGGCTTCAGTAACTGTGGCTCATGGGCTCTAGAGCGCAGGCTCAGCAGTTGTGGCGCACGGGCTTAGTTGCTCTGTAGCATGCGGGATCTTCCCGGACCAGGGCTCGAACCCATGTCCCCCTGCATTGGCAGGCAGATTCTTAACCACTGTGCCACCAGGGAAGTCCCCACATTGTTCTTGAAGTCCATTCATTCACCAGATTTATTACTGCAACTAAAATGTTCAGAGCAAGTGTGTCTCTTGATATTTCTCACCCATTGTGTCCATAAAATCTTAACCTGAGTTATACACTATTTCTTCTTCACTGTTCAGCCATCCATAGTATAGCTATTAGTAAATTTTTTCCTAATAATTTGAGGCAACCTTCAATCAATCTTAAAGGAAGAAAACTTTCTAATCATTTTCAGCACTGCATCAAATAGCAGTATTTTTGTTATTCAGTTTTCTTAACTTGCTAAGTGTTTCGAAACCTGTGCTGTGGACTCCTGGAACCGCCCAAATTGGAGAGGGAATAGAAAACTCCTGGGGTGATCTTGAAGACTCTGAGAAGGAAGACGAAGATGAAGGTGGCAGTGATGAAGCTATTATTCTTGACAGTATAAAAATGGACACGGGAGAAGTCTCTAATATTGGAAGCCAAGGTATGTGATACTTTATGGCTATATGTAATATATATATATATATATATATATATATATCCCCATTTTAGGAATCTTACTTTTATATTAGCAGTTACTTTTTTAGAGGGGCTAAATATTTTGTAATTTAAATTTCAACTAAACTGTTGAGGCTAACTGCAAGAATATGCTTATCTTTGAGGAATAGTGGTATCCTTTGGTATGTGAAGGGAGTGGCATTTTTTATTTTAAAGTTTTTTTTTTTTTCTGTTTTTGTATCTTATCCGGGTCAGTTTTAAGGGGATGGGTTTCTTAAAATCTCATTCCTGTGTGCTATTTTTTCTTTGTACAGTTTCTAGACTCAAACATAAAAAGGCAGTATCATAACATATATTAGAGTAGTGCCATCCATAGAACTTTCTGCAGTGTTAGAAATGTTCAGTCTCCACACTGTCCAGCATAGTAGCCACTAGCCACATGTAGCTACTGAGCAGTGAAATGTGGCTTGTGTGAAGAATTCTAAATTTTAATAAATCAAACAAGGAGGGATCTAGGAAGTAGGTTGATGGAGAACTAAAGAATGCAGCTATTAAATCTGGCTGAGAAAATAGTGAAGGTGATACTGTTTCGGTGTGTAATGCACATACCTGCCTGCCTTCAAGGAAGATTATTGCCTGTAAATATTACTGAGGATCTGCTGGGGATTTTTGTAAGGCAAAAAAAAAAAAAAAAAAATCAAGGAAGATTATTGCCTGTAAATATTACTGAGGATCTGCTGGGGATTTTTGTAAGAAAAAAAAAAAAAAAAAAAAAAATCCCCATTAATTGGGACCCTTATTCAGCTTCCCCAGTGGTTACTTCCTTCCAGACCTCGTTCCATGTTTACACCAACATAAGCTGCTTAAACACAGGGACTATTTATTGATAGATGTTACTTTTTTTTTTTTAACTCCATATGCCTTTATATATTTGTGAAACTTTTCTAATAGGGAGAAAGTAATTGAAAACTATTTAAATATAAAAAATTAATGTAGTAAGTTTCATGGGGAAAATGAGCAAAAGAACAGAAACAGACGTTTCTGTTCTTTTGCCCATTTTTTGTTTCTGTTCCTATTTGTATTTGCATTCTCAAATACAAACGGCCAGAAACACATTGGCAAGGGTTTATAGGAAAATGGGTTAATATACTATTCTTGTAGTGTAAATTGAAACGTTTCTGGAGGGATCTGGCAAAAATGTCTTTCATAAGGTATATGCCTTTTGACCCAGTAATTCTGCTTCTAGGTATTTTTCCTTTTAGTGTTGTTTATAATAGGGAGAAATTTAAAATCTAGATCGTCAAAATTAACAAATTCAAAGAGTAGTACAAGGAATTCAGTTGGCATATTGACTTGTTTCCAGATTGGTTCTGTAAGACGCTCTGTGTGTGTATAGTGTGTGTGTGTGTACATATATACACACTCACACACACACACATGTATGTAGAATTATCCCCCTCACTTTAATTCTATTAAAGAAGCACACATAAGGTTTTTCAGCGCTCCAAGGAATAACCTCAGGGAAGGGAAGAACCAAATAGTAGATCTGTAAGCCTCCACCCAAAATGCTGCTTGGGCTATCTGAAACTTATATTCCTTTCTTAACATTTTCTTAAAAGATGCCCCTATAGTGCTCTCAGACAGTGAAGAAGAAGAAATGATCATTTTAGAACCAGATAAGAATCCGAAGAAAATAAGGTAACAAATTTCTGGTTTATTTCAAATGTATACATCTACTCAAGACTTTTTAGAAGCTTGCTCTCTGGGTTTCTTCAACCTGAGATTTATAGAATTAGGTATGTAAAACTGCTTGGATGCCTTTCAAGGTTACAGTATTCTTCTGTCATAGGTGGCAAAAGTAAGCTCCTAGTACTAATACTGTTAAAACTTGTTAATTTACTTTGTTCACAGAACACAGACCATCAGTGCAACACAAGTAAAAGCACCAAGTAAAAAGCCAGTGAAAAAGAGAAAAAAGAAGAGAGCTGCTAATTAAAGTTCACATAGTTGTATATTTGTGTATATAACTATTAAAAAGGTATTTATTCAGTACTAACAACCTTGGGTATTATTCACAAACCCATTATAGATTCTAGTTCTTTGTACAGCTTTTTACATTATGCTTTAAAATAAACATCTGGAGGACTCTTTAAAACAGGTTTTAAATAACTGTCACTTTGGTAGGTCAAGTATAGTAAAAGTTGATGAATGAAAAGCATTTTCATAGTGTGTACAAAGACCTGAAAGAGTCTTCTTAGATTATGCCCAAGTCAGACAGTTGGCCCAGTTCCTTAGGGAGGTGAATGTCATCACCTGTGTGTTGGAAGGAGAAGCCTTCCCAGTCCCCATGCTTTAATAAACCAAATTAATTTTTCTGAGTGAAATCCTGAAGTCAAATTTTTACCTCAAATTAAATTTGACTTACAAACCAAATTTTCCAAATCAATTTATTTCTTATTATCCTGACAGCTGGCATTAATACTTTAACAAAAAACACTTAAAATTAGCCAAATATCTAAGATAGTTACATGTACAAAAGATATACAAATTAAAACCTTTAAAAAGTAATAGATACCATAATTTGTACTTGACCATAACTTCTGTATTCAGAAATGATTGTAAAATTAAAACCTAAGATAAAATCTGTACACCATATACTTTGAGTGATTTACATCCTAGAAAACAAAGGCAGTCTTTCACTGTTACACATTTAGTGTCTCGGGTGGGTTGAGGAGAGAAACACCATGATACCTGTAAGCAGGGAAAAAAATCCATTTTTAGTAAACATTCATTGGGTGAAACAGATTATGGAATGAAACATATACTAGGAACTCACAAGTGCTATTTCTGTCTACTTGAATTAATGGTTATAAAACGATAGTCTGGTCCCCAACACTTGCATGCATGCCTACCGTTCCTCTCCCCTCTTCTCCCTCAAATACATAAGACAGAAGCTCAAAACACATGGCTGCTAAGAGAACAGTTGCTTAAGGAGGCTGTGCCTGATTTGTGAATCCCTTAAATAAAGTTAAAATGGCAAGGATCTCTGAACCATATGATAGCCTGGAAAAGCAAGCTTCTTTGGTATCTACTGCTGTTAATTCTTACTTTGAGTTTTTGTACTTTTCTCGTATTGACTGTTGTGCATGCCGCGGAGCTCTGAGGTAGGTCTGGTGAAGGTCCATGAGACAAGGCTTTAGAGTTTCCAGCGTATATCCAGTCTTTTGTACTAATGATTCAGGCTGCAGGAGGGAGGATGGAACCACTGAGTTTTGTTTTTAGTAACAGACACTGAATACAAGTTAGTAGTTGGCATTAAGCTTGAGTTTTGTTAAACTTCAGTCCTAACACCTCCAACTAACATCTTCCAGTTTTCTCAAGCTCTTTTTGCTAACTTCAATCAATTTTTACTATTTTCCTTGCCAACAGCAAGTCTTATGGCCTGAATTCTTTAAGCACACCTTTCAAATCCAAGCATTAATAGTAACCAAGCTTTCTACCTAACAGATGCTATTAAACAGGTAAGACAAAATGCTTTCAACAGTGTAGGTGGTTGAATAGCTCTTCCAGTTCAGCACATTTAGACAACTGTCAGTTGTATAGGACAGTTATTTAACCTATCTGGCACAGGCATTTACAGCACAAGGTGGATGTGTGAGGACGTCGTCATACATACCCAGCTTTGTCCCGTGACAGTGTAGAGTGCTAAATGAAAGGCTGCTGCGGCGATAACTGATGGCAAATACTTTAGATATGGGTCAGCATCTATCAAACTTAACTCTCCCAAAAACTGGAATGAAAAAGTAAATATACTTTATGATCATAAGAGCTCTGGAATTCAAAACTCAAATCCTTACCTTCTGACCGAATATTTTGCTATCTTTAAGACTGGCTCTGTAGCAACCACTGCCACATCTTTAAATATATTCACTATCATATTTTGCTTCATTCTCATCCTGTATTTTTCCTCCTTTAATAGCTTTAAAAACAACTCTTCTGGCTACCATTTACCAAGACTTCACCCTTATACCACTATTCCTAGTGCTTTCTCCATTTATGTTTTCTTTTGCCAATGACAGGCTTTCTTTCATACTGCAGCACTAACCTGTCCCCAGAATACTAAATCCCTTGACCAAGGCTGTATAATGAAACTAGAGCTTGCCCCTAATTGTGACCTTAGAATCTTCATTCAACAAAATGAAAAGAACTTACCATTGCTAAACTTTCAACTTTGCAGTTTGCAGACTGCTGGTGCAGAAAGTACTGGGTGAGAAACTGATTTATTGTTGGTGCAGCTAAGTCAAAAGCAAGGACTTTCAAAACTAGGTGCTCCATTCTCAGAACTTGTTTCTTGGTATAAGTGTCATCTGTAATGTATACAAACTCTGCTACTTCTGGGGGGTATATTTCTTCAAACTTTCTACAATGAAAGAAGTTTTAAGTAATCAGTCCTTTTGTAAGAAAAGCAAGCTTGTTTATCCCAACTTGAAATCCCTTAAGCAGAATAAATGGAATGAATCCAAAACCAGTTGCCTGTTTGCACTGATACTTGACCATTTCTAGCCAAGACTAGGTAAATGCTAATTAAAAGCCCCAAATATTTCTCCTACTTCAGTCAAAGGAAGTAAGTGAGACACTGACTTCCCAAGATGGGAACAATGCCAGAGTTCACCAAGTAACTGAAAATGTAGGAAATTTCCTTAGAAAAATAAATAATTTACATTTTAGTTTTCATGTCTTAATGGAGAAAAGATAAGATTTTGCTTATATACCAGAAAGTACTTTAAAGTGGAAGGAACCACTCTGTAACCTAGTCCTGGTGTATTAAAATGTCGCCAGTCTGTAGGTTCATTCAAGGTGCCCTGAAATCCAGATCTAGGAAAATTAACGTCCTAAATTTAAAAAGTTTCATCCACTCCACCATCCCTAAAGTAGTCGCTGACTCCCTGCCTTGTATAGTATGTTAAAATATCACACTTTAAAAGATCACAATTTCTTCCCTA